TGTCTATATCTGTTTTCCTGAGTAACCACTTTGAAGTTATCAACATGTAATACAACAACCATTGTTAATTTTCTGTCACCTTGTCTGTAATTCAGTATCACTCGTATTATTCTTGTTCTATTTTGTAAGTGGATATCTGTTTGTTAATATGTTTTCATTTTTTTATTTTGAAAATTAAAAAATAGAAACATCTAGCTAATCTTTTCTGAGCTTCATATAAAGAGATTAATAACGTATATTTTCTTTTCGTGCTCATGAATTCCATTACAAACAACACCATACGTTATCATCTTTACATGTAATAATGGATATTCATAGTGCTTTGGAGCAGGGGAATTCATGGATAAAGTATCATGGATAGTTTGGGAAGATGTGTTCCAATTCTAGTGGTTAAGAAATTAAATTTTATAATGTAACTCAATAAGTGAGGTTAAATTTTCATTTTTTCACTTAATTTAAAATTTTCACCAAGATTTTAATAATATCTTTTCAACACAGGAAGATTTTTTAGAAGATATCGCTTAAGCACTGTTGTTTGCTTCAGTTAAATAAACTCAAAGAGTTTACCCTCCTTGGTCCTCCAGGGTCTTTTCTATGCTTCAGTGTAGACTGTATTAGGCAGGAATGGGTCTATTTTAGTGGATTCTGACCAATAAGCAACAAGGACCATCTTACGGACAAACAGCTGCGGAGCAATGCTCCTAGGAAGAGGAAAGCCCCAGGTGAGCCCACTGTGAGCTACTACACACTTGGTTCACGCTCAGGGCTGGAAATGGAACCAAACGAGTTGTTCTCTGTGAGGTATTATTATTAATCCCATTACACAGGTCAGTAAACTGAACGATGTCGCAAAGGTTTGAAGCGGCTAGGAAGAAAGGAAACAAGTGTGGAGATGCACGTTCATCTCTTCAGTCAGTTCCTCAACGAATCAGAATCCTCAATGATACAGTCTCTCAAAATTAAATAATAGATGAACTAAAACAGCAAAACCAAATCCTTCTCATTGGCTTTCAAGACTTCGCAAACATCATTTTAGCCCTTAGCAAATAGGTTTTGGTAAAATGAGAAAAAAAATATTTTTTCAGTTGTAGGGATTAACCTAGAGCCTTCACACTAAGCTACATCCCTGGCTCATTTTATTTTATTTTATTTTATTTTATTTTATTTTATTTTATTTTTT